GGGTACGAATCAATAACGTTTCCATTTTGTGATTTTCTATTGAAAATTTTTTTTCAATTAGAATATAGATTTGCAACTGTATATGCTGCAAATTGGAAGCGCACAATAACAGGTGGCGGCACTTTAAGTCAACTTGTTGCACTTAAATTGTTTCGTGAATCAAAAAATAGCTACAAGAATCTTGACTACCAGTAATCAACTTGGTTCTGAAGCAGGAAGCGATGGCAGAAACTCTGTGTATAAATAAGTATAAATACTACCTTGATCTTGAATCTTTCCTGTAATCAACTTAGTTCTTTAGGATGAGAGCAGGTTGGCAATGGAGTTCAATGGAGCCCAATGAAGCTCTGAATGGAGCCAATGAATATTAGTTTTTTGAGCTTCATTCGCATAACCATTGAGCTCCATTGGCTCCATTGCCAACTTAGGATAAGAGTTGTGTGTAGAGACCTTTTACATAATGATTAATTAAAGATTTGATAACACACTGTAATTTACCTAGTGGTAACACATTTCAAAATGATTTATATAATTTTTAGATCAGATATATAGTACCGGAAGTTTTACAAGGAAAAACACACGTAAAGCATTAGATATTTATTCTTTAGAATGATTATATGGAGGAATGTTTAAGATTAGAGGCACGACATCATGCTAAGTAAATCTTTTGAAAAAATGTTTGAATAAAGACCCAGAAAAGCGATTATAAAAGATCAGATGGTAAGTTTATTTAAACTTTGAAATCTGCTATTACAAGTTATTCAACCCATTGATTCTCAAAACTTTCTGCCTCATTCTGATCATAATAATATTCAAATTCTTCTTGAACTGGAAAATTTTGTGCCGAGAAGCCTTGTGGTAAGAGATATGGTTGGGATAAAGAGTTTTGCTGAGACGAAAAATATTGTTCAGGTGAAAGGTTAGATGGAAAATCTTGGTGCTGAAAGTGTTGTTGAGGCGAAAGGTTAGACAAAAAATCTTGTTGGAGCTGAAAGTGTTGTTGAGACGGGAGATTATGCTGTTGGAGATTGTGAAGTGGAGGAAGATTTTGAAGTGGAGGGTATTGTTGATGTTGGGATGGGAGGTATTGTTGGGATAGAA